ATTTATAAATAGTTTCTTTTAACTGTTAATATATTATTTTTTAACAGGATTTAAACTTGGTATTTTTTTAACAGGATTTTTTAATGGAAAAAGTTAAACATACGCCTGCACTTGCAGGTCCAACACGAACCTTTTTTACTAAAATATTATATTATGAAATAAATATTTGATTTTATAATTAAAAATTTGATCAAAACGAGTATCATCCGGGTGTTTGTGAAAAGTGCATTTGTATGTCAATCATATTTTTTTAATAAAGAATTGTACAATTTTATAGAAATTAAAATACATTAAACTTATGTATTTTAATTTGAATAGAATATTTTAATTGTAATTAAATACTTTTTTTTTTAAAATTAACTTTGACTATTATTTAATAATTTAAAAATATCAGTTAACAAATCGTAAAATCTTTGTTTGAATCGAAAGTGGAAAAAAAAAGCAATATTTGTTTGAATTATAATTTTTTTGTAAAATAAATACTTTCAATTGAATTCAAATCATGTAAACAAAATTTAACCTGTTATCATTAGAAAGATTACCATTTAAAAATGAAACAAGAAATAGTGCGTTGGCATAATAAATTTTTAAAGGATTTTTTTTGACAGAAAAATTAAAATATTTTATTAAAAAATGTTATATACAAAATTTAAATTTTAAATTTTTCGTATTCTCTTTTTAATTGAGATGGTTTAGGATTTAAAAACTTAAATATTAAAGTTAACCTTAAGTAAGATATTATTAGGGATGAGAGAACAAGTTAAGTAGAATAAATAGTAAAAATAATATATTTTAAATGAAAATTTATTCAAAATATTATTTATATAAATTTATTTATTAAAATATATTTGTTTATTGTTTATATATAATTTTTTTTAATTTTTAATTTTTAATTTTTCTTATTCTTTGTTCAGTTCTTATTTATTTGTTTTTTTTATTTATTTTAGGTTTCTTATTTTTTTCTCTTTTCTTTTATTTATTCTTTTAATTAAATTATTATATTCAAATTTAAAAAAAATATGTTAAAACAAATATTTAAAAAAAAATTGAAAGTAAAAAAAAATTAACTAAATATTTAAAAATTATGATAATAATAAATAATTTCATTTATTTTGGCGATAAATAATTTTATTTACGATAACATAAATAAATAATTTAAAATTATTTTATTATAAGAAATAATTACTTATTTAATTAAAAAATATTAAAAATTTATAATTTAAATATATTGTTATTTAATATTTTAATCTAGTTAGACTGAGTTATGATAATTAGATATTTAAAATATAATATTTATTAAAAAATATTTTAAAATAAATATTTAATTTTTTCTTAATAATTTTAAGAAAATAATAATATTTGTAATCTCTCAAATTTAGTATATAATACTTTTGTTTATATATTAAATTATAATATTTTTGAATAATTTAAACATTTTTATTTTTTAATAATAATAAAATATTTACATTATCAAATTTCAATATATTATTTTTAATTGAAGAATAAAATGAAATGAAAGAAAACAAATGAAAAAAAAATGAAAAGAGAAAAAAAATTAGGAAATGAAAGAAAATAATTATATTATGCATTTTCTCTTATTAAAATTGTGTATTAACAATAAATACTAGAGTGATAGTTTTTCTATAATATTAACTTGGGAACTTTTAGTCAATTTTTACTAAAATAATGCTAAACCATGAAATAATGAATACTTAATTTCAAAGTTTAAAAGTTAACGTTCATCAAAGTAATCATGATCAGCATCAGTCAAAAATAATTTTAGTCAATTTTAATTAACAGTTTCTGGTCTTGTTAACTTTAGTTAGAAAATTCTTAACAGTTTTTGCATGAAAAAAATTTAAATTAATAAGTTTAAAACATTTTCAATTGATATTTTTAATTATTAAATAGTATTTAATATTAAAATATGTTTTTATGATAAGTAAAATATTTTATTTTGTACAATTTACAAAACATGTGCACTATTACATGAAAACAATTTCCTCGATCACTATTTTTCTTTTCTTTTTTGTGTGAGTATACGATAATGTTTAATTTTAACATCACAAGTTAACAATAACTGTATTCATATTTTTCGGTAATCAAAAGTATTTATTTTTATGTAAAGAAATATATACCATTATTTAAAAGATATAATCTTGTATCTTTCTTATATTGTTTATAATCTTGGCAAACCATGTGCTAAGAAATAGTAATATAATTCTATTTCGAATGCCATGATCTTTCACGGAAAACCCAGAAAATAGTTAGAAAATAATCTCCTGAGAAATTCAAAACAAGAAAAAACTCTAAACACACCCTTTTGTTTGAAACCGAATAATTCACACCCAAAACAATATGATATTTTCATTAATTAACTAATCAACACATGCAATAACCTACAAACGTACACAGATTTAGTTTGATTATTGCCACACCATGTCTTTACATTCCCAACTACATACAAGATTTGGATTTCCGAGTCATACAAAAGATTCTCCTCAGAAACTAACCAGCACGGCATGGAAACATTTTCTTCGAATCGGGTGAGTCAGCAGCACAGGTTCTTTGTCGAGAAGAGAACTCGCTAGAGAATTTCGTGGAAGAACTATATCTCACACAAGCAGCGGTTGCTGCATGATCATCAATCACTTCTTGCGTTGAAGAAGGTTCCTGCATGCAATAATAGTCGGGCACGTTCATGTTGTAGCTTAGAGCAGCCCCTGAAGAAAGACACTGGTAGTGCTTGCGAGTCTTGCGTTTCTTGATTGCTCTGAAAACCAGAGGTAGAAGACCCTCCATCTAGTTAATGCTTATTAGCTATCTATGCTTTTTGTTTTGGTTTCTTTGTGAGAATTAACCAAAAGGGAATATAGAAAAGGAAAAAACATTGGATATTGAAGGGCTTTTAATGGAGAAGCAATTGTTATTCCATGTTCTATAAAGGGTTAGGTAGGTTTAAGTTTTTAATATTTGGTTTATGGCATGTTTTTTCTGTCAGAAGAGTTTTGACTCAACTTGCAGCACCAAAGCATGCCAAAGAACTGTCCAAATGCTATTCAAGAGAAGATTGCCTAATTTTTTAACAGAAAATTGACTTTTATGCCGTTCTTCTGAAAATGACAAAATTAATCTGAGTAGAGTTGTGGACAGAAAAGCAACCAAAGTTTTATTTTATTCCGACCAACCACTGTCCACAAAAGCCTCCAGAGGTTGTGATCATTAGTTTTAGAAATAAATTCATGTGGACCCTATGGCAAGGACCATGTCATGTATAAATATAGATATATTTCCCTTTCATTGGTGAATGAGAAACAGGATGCAGAATAAAGAATTAACGAGACATAAAAAGTGAATGTATCTGATAGAGAGAGGAAATAAGAAAGTATAGAACTTCCAACTCCTAAAAGTTGACAGAGTAAATCAAGTAAGATTTCTGGAAAAAATAAAAAAGTCAGATTCTTGTACATGGTACTATCCCCTTCTTAAACATGAAGAAAACGAAAAACTAATGAATTTTCACGGAAATGAGAAACAGAACAAAAAATTACAAAGCCTTCCTTCTATAAGATTGAATTATGAGTATATTAATTACAGAAAAAAAATTATGAACAATAATAACAACTAAAAATATGTAGAAAACATAATTTTGTGGAATGAACAATATTTGCATAGTACTGTTGAAATATAATCACGTGGAAATCTAGGTAGAATATGGAAAGCTCAACGAAGTAAAAGAATGTAAAATTGAGATAACAATAGAAAATAGAAATGCTTATATCATATAATAATTAAATTAATGATAATATTTTTAAAATTATTTAACAAAAATATAGTTAAATATATCTTATTTCTTAATGTTGTACAATCTTATTTTTAATATTAATTTAATTTTTTAAAATAAACTCGAATAGTCATTTCATTCAAATTCGGGGTAAAACAAAGCTGACTTAATCATATAACTATATACTACTAACCTAATATATAATATAGAGTTATTTATATCATATAAAATTTATTAATAATTAATAATGTATCATGTTAGTTAAAATAAATATAATTACGCTAATATCATGTAAACTTTTTTTATTAAACATAATTGACAGAAATAAAATAAAAAAATTAATTGACAGGTATCTTTAGTCATAAACATTAATTACTTTTTATTTTATCAATTAATTAATTTAATTTTCTCTTAATTATTATTATTAATTTATTAATATATTTATTCATTTTCTTTTTCTATAATTTTTATTTATTTATAATAATATTTAAAAATGAAATTAAGAAAATAAAAATTATATAATTAATAATAAAGAAAGTTAAATAAAATATTAAAAAAAATAAATATATAAAGAGTTATTTTTAAAAATTATAAATATAAATTTAAAATTAATTATAAAATAAATTTTTAAAAAAATATTATATTATTAAAAATATTATTGATTTTTCAAGCCAAAATATTATTTGTAAGTAATTATAATAAAATATTATATATATATATATATATAAACTAATAGATATATTATTCTCAATAATTATTTGAATAAAATATATTTGTAAATTATTTATATAAATATTATATATGAATTATTTAAATAAATTTATCCCTTATAAAGTATTTTAAATTTAATAGATTTAAATTGATATAACTAAAAAAATTAAAATTAAATAAATATTACAATTTAAAAAGAAAATAATTAATATCAATTATTATACAAATAATTATATTTATTATTTTATTAATGGATTAATTTAATTATTTTTTATTATTTTTTAATTTATCTTTATTATTTATTATTTTTATATAAAAAAATATAATTCCATGAGACACGCTTTAGATAAACCCTAAAAAGAAACTAGTAGAGATCAAAAGTCATTTAAGTAGCATTAAAATATTAAAGGCAATGACCATTAAAATATTATCTGCAGAGACAACTGAGAACCGACAAGGTGAATGGTCGAGCTGACAGAAGGAAGAACCAGCAGAAAAGAACGGCATGCGGAAGAACAAGTGTCATGGAGAAGCAGTTACAGAAGGAACACGTGGTAGTGGTAGTGGTAGCGGTAGCGGTAGCGATGACATTCTCACCTTCCACTTTTCAGCAACTGGTGTTCTTCTCTCAATTTTTCTGCTTCTGCATTTTGCTCACTCTTCCCAATCCTCCTCGCTCTCACCATCTTCCTTTTGTTCCCAGTCAAACCTCACAACCATGGTGCGTTCCTCGTCATTTTCCTTACCATAGTTACTTTCTAGCGTTTCTGTATACTTCTATACCAACAACGATGGGGTCAGTGAATCCATTTCAATCTTGCCCTCAGTTACACTGGCGTTTTGGTAACTCGAGAGTTGCATTTTTTCATTTATTAGATGATTGTATGTACAACAGGAGAGTGAAGACAGAAGATATATGTAGTTTCTCATGATTTTTTTTAATTGTTCGAAAACAAATGCACTGCTCTTTCACCCCTGAAAAATGTACAGCAGGTGAGAACCGTTAAAAGAATATGGAAAATATTCTGGGAGAAAGTGCAGGTTAGTTTGTGATTGCTTATGAGCTATATGAATGCGGATAATTAGTCTCTTTCGATCACTTTCTCGACAACGTTTACAAGAGAATGAATAAGAGCACAAAATTAAATGAATTTTTTCAGCAGTTAAAATTAGTTTATGGGGAAAATTAAAATGTGAAAACTTCTCCAAATTGATTTATATATTAGTTAATTTTAGTTTATAGGGGAATTTATTTCATTTGATTTGTTACAAGTTTTTATGGAAATAATTATATAAACACAAACTGAGTCCATTTAATTTGTACGGTGGTCCCAAAGATTGCTTACCAAAACTGTATTTTGGACAATAAACAGCAAATAATTTTAACAATAATATGAAATTTTAGCAACAGTCTCAAATCTAACGCTTTCGGGAGAAGGTAACCCACTTATTGAATGAGTCCCGAGTGGACTTCACCCCATGATAGATAAAGGAGTGCTGTACGGACTGTGTCTCTGGCCTTTTTCCTTTGTCTAATTCAACAACCATCAATCCAAACATGCCTTAACAAAACTTTAATGTGATCAAATGTAAAGTTCAGTCTTCAGGCACCAAGTTTGTGACTTGTGACCATTTCTTTATAATTTCATTATGCGTTTATTTGTTTTGCAACCAATCAGGGAAGTAAAAACCAATGTCAATTATCAAAGATGAATTCTAATGTTTCCAGCTTAGGATGTTTCTTTGGATTACTTGACGCCAACTTATTTGTGGATAAACAGGTATTTTCCTTGACTTGTAGGTTTGTTGGTATTATGATGTTTGGTGAGGTGACTAATTATGTTTCGCTTTCCCTTAGATTAGGGAGATGTCTGAGGGTGCAAATGAATTCAATATTCCAATCATAAAAGCAAATAGAAAACTTGTTGCTTGTGAGAATGGGGGGCTGCATTATCCTTCTCCTTTAGTTTTCAATGCTAATTGGAACTCTGAACCTTTTCATTATGAAAACCAAAGATTCAACTATCCGTCCATCTCTGGAGTTCAGAGACCTGAATCTGAAGATGATATTGCCTTTATGAGTGTAAGTGATCCATCATAGCTGACGGACCACTAATTGACTTTGATTATATATCTTGTATAAACATTTTAGTACGTGTTACTATTTCGTGAATGACACTTTCTTCTCCCGTGTTTCAAACTAGGTTCTTGAGTTAGGTGAACTCATCAAAACAAAACAAATCAGTTCTCAGCAGCTTACACAAATATTTTTGCGCAGACTCAAAAAGTACTACTAATATTGGAATGCTAATTTGCTAGCAGTTGTTGTACATGTATTGTGTTGTGTTTTGTGTTGCATGTTTTTTGCTTTTGGTGATTTAAATTCAAGTATTTGAAACATGTCTTCCTGATTAACTATGTCATGTGGATTCTGGAATTAACACCAGGTACAATCCTACTCTTGAAGCTGTAATTACTTATACCGAAGAGTTAGCACAGGAGCAAGCGAAAGAAGCAGATAAGTTGCTCGAGCAGGGAGTCTATCTGGGTAGTTATTTTTCTCCAAGCATCTGATCATTAAAAAATGTTTTGTTTCTAATTAATGTACCTTCTACTTAATGCCTTTACTTTTAGAAGGATCAATGCAGATTAATGCATTTTGTTCTGGAACCCTAACTATTTCAGCATCATAAATATAAGATTCCTATACATCCTGAACAAGATCTATGAGCAAAATTATTTTCAAAGGACAAAACACAGTTTTATGAACGATTTCGGGATTAGCTAGAATTTAGGTCCGTCTGGCCCGTAGTACCTCGTTCTGTTTAAATAGAGGCACAGAGCTGAACTTTTGAGATGGAAAATTTTCAAATACTTTGTTTCAGGATGAACTGTATAACCTCTGAGTCAGTATTTTAAATTGAATATTGATCTTCTTGAAGGGCCTCTTCATGGAATTCCTTACGGATTGAAGGACATAATATCAGTGCCCAAATACAAAACGACCTGGGGATCAAAATCGTTTAAAAATCAAATTATTGACATGGAAGCTTGGGTCTATAAAAGGTAATATCTTTTGTCAAACGTAAATCTACAACCAGAAATTATATTTATGGCTACAATAATGCGTATAGCTGATGGTTTGTTCGACACAGGTTGAAGTCTGCCGGGGCTGTTCTTGTTGCAAAGCTTGTCTCTGGATCATTGGCATATGATGATATCTGGTTTGGTGGCAGAACTAGGAATCCATGGAATATTGTGGAATTTTCTACTGGTTCATCTGCTGGACCTGCGGCAAGCACCTCAGCAGGTACATTACAGAGTTTATCTTCCATGAATACCTGTACTTTTTTTTTCCGTTTTTTTCCGTTGTTTAGTGTATTTTATCTATTATTGTATACCAAAAAAAAGAGAGTACGCTTGAAATGTTAGATTCCTTAACGAGTGAGTTATCTATGTTATTCAGCTAAGTGATTTTGTTTATTGCATTACAGGTATGGTTCCATTTGCATTTGGTACAGAAACAGCTGGATCCATAACTTATCCTGCAGCTCGATGTGGAGTAACAGCATTGCGCCCAACTTTTGGAACTATTGGTCGAAGTGGTGTAATGAGCATTTCAGAAAGCTTGGTAAAACCCAAATTATCCGATGTTTTTTATAGGATGATGTGAATGTTAACCTTACATGTAACGATTCCATCAGGATAAGCTTGGCCCTTTCTGTAGATCTGCAACTGATTGTGCTATTATTCTCGATATTGTTCGGGGAAGAGATCATGATGACCCCTCGTCAAAAGATATCTCCTTTGATGATCCATTCCTGGTTGACATTACTAAGTTGACTGTTGGATATCTTGATGATGCTGAAATGGAGGTTAGTCATTCGAGTAATATCCCTGGGACAAGTGGTTCAAGCTTTGACGTTAATATTGCCAATTTCCATGAAAACATTTGCCCTTCTTGAGTCTTGTTAGGATAAGACATGATTAATAAGACTTAAACTTCTGCTATGAAAACTCAGGTTGTTCATGTCCTTGCATCAAAAGGTGTCAAGATGGTCCCTTTCAAACTGAATTACACAGTTGATTCTGTTCAAGGTATCTTAAATTTCACAATGGACGTTGACATGCTGGCCCACTTTGATGAGTGGCAACGCTCAGGTGAGGATAATGTGTATGAAGCCAAAGATCAGTGGCCCACTGAACTACGCCGAGCTCGCATAATTCCTGCAGTGGACTATGTGCAGGTCAACTACTAATTTGGTTCCCTTAAATAGTTAAATTACAATCAACCATCTTTTATATTAAGAATTTCATTGAATCCAATGATTTGATATCATTCTTTTATTTTCAGATATGATACGTTGGCATTATTCTGGATTTAGAAATAAATTATTGTGTGCAGGCACAAAGAGCTCGGGGAAGGCTAATAAAGGAAATAAGAGAGTCCTTCACTGTGGATGCATTCATTGGCAATGCAACTGATTGGGAGAGAGTTTGTGTTGGAAATCTTGTTGGTTTACCAGTCATAGTAGTGCCAACAGGACTTAAAAATATCTCTCATCCTCCACCTGGTGGCACTAGAAGAAGAACTACAATCACCACTGGCATTTATGCTCCCCCTAGCCATGATCACGTTGTATGTTTGTGTCTGCGATCTGTGTTCAGTATCTTGTGCAATTTTTGTACTACTATAAGCTTATGGCTTTGCTTTGCACTCAATTTGTAATTCTATACCTACATTTTATACACTTTCTTTTTTCAGGCTCTGGCGCTGGCAATGGCTTACCAATCTGTCACCCACCACCATAAACAGCGTCCACCTATCAATGATCTCGGGCCAAATGATAAGATTCCTGATCCAGTTACTGGTAGTACCTACCCTCCCAGGGTTTTTGGCTTAGTTCCTTGAGCTATTCTGGATAACATGATACGTTGTATGCTTGTATTATTGATTAGTCACTCTCACGTAGACTTGAAAGAGTAATAAGAATAAACTATTTTTCTAAATAACTAAAGTTTAAAGCTTTCCCACGTTAGGAACAATAATAAATACACAACTTTTGAAACAATTTAGTAAAAATAATATCACTTCCTCAATAAATATATTTCTTTTATTGAAACAGATAAAAAAGTACTACTTCATTTTTATTTCTTTTATTGAAACAGATAAAAAAGTACTACTTCATTTTTATTTCTTTTATTGAAACAGATAAAAAAGTACTACTTCATTCACCACTGAGAAGATTAATCTTTTATTTTTTAATTCTAAAACTCTCGAAGGAATATTAAATAATTTTTATATGCAATATTGTGAATATTGATGATTTTTTATAAAATAATTTATAACTTTATTTGAAGTAATAAATTTATAAAATAATTTATAACTTTATTATGAATATGTCTTTTCTTATGAATAAATAGAAATTTGGAATAATTAATTATAAGAGTAGATTTAGTGTATTAGTAACTATTTAAAAAAAATAAACTGAATTAATTATTTTATTTGTGTGTATGATTATATTAAAAATCATAAAGACTAAAATGATGATACACCACAAGAAATTTAGGAAAATTAGTTACAAAATTTATTTTGTTATAAATTTTATTTAATTAATTAGTTATGAAATAGTTATGGAATAAGGTTGTAGTTAATGTAGTAAAATAATTAGAAGACTAATATTTTTGTAGTTATTCTCTCACTTAGCAAAAAAAGAAAATTTTTATCACTAATTTCTCGTTATAAATATTAACTATATTACTTTTTTAAGTTATTTTCTAGCTAAATTGTGTAATATACAATTATAATTAAACTGTAACAAATTTATAGCAACTATCAAATTGAAAAAAAATATTAAATGATTGGGAACTATTCTTATAAATTATTTTATATTTTAGTTTTATAAAAAATTATTTATAAAAAATACTTGTAAATTTCTCTAAAAATATATAATTATAAAAAATAATTTTTTATCTTTTTAAAAAAATATCAATAAAAATTAATTACAATTTTTTCTTAAAAAAATTATTTTTACCAAATTTACTATAAATATATAATTATATATATAAATTATTTTTTATCTAAAATAAATTATATAGAAATAATTATAATTTTTTTCAAAAAATATCTAAAAAAATTGATAAATATTTAAAATTATTTTTTGTAAGTTTTTTATAAATTTAAATTTGTTAGAAATATTTAATAATATTTAAATTAATAGAAAAATTTTATAAATAATATTTTTTTATAATTTTTTAAAAACTATTCTTTACAAGAAATAAAAAAATTTATATTCAGAAATACTAATTTATTTATTTTTTTATAATTCTTCTAATAAAAATCTAAATTAATTTTTTTCTCATCTTCTTCATACTTAATTTTCTCAAACCTAACGCCTTTATGTGTCCCGTGCCGCTCCCTGCCGCTGCCGCTCCCTGCCGCCGCTCCCTGCCGCTCCCTGCCGCTGCTGCCGCCCCCATCCGCTGCTGATGTTGCTGCCGCTCTCGCTCTCGCGCCGCTCCCCTGCTGCTCTTGCTCCCGCTCCCGCGCTGTCCTGCGCCGTGTCCGCTGCTGTCCTGCGCCGCTTCCGCACACGCTGCTACCGCAGTGCAGGTAGGAAGGGAAAGGCTGCAGTGATGGATTAGGCTGAATAGGAGAGTGAATATGCGGGAGAGTAATTACTCCAACAAGTACATGATCATTTTTTGGGAAAACTAAGCGTAGTGTGAATGATTGGGTTTCTGGCTACTTAATCTAACTTGTTATTGTAATATTTGATCAGCGAAAGCTAGCGCAAAGATCAGAAAGAGTAAAATGTGTGGATCTACATCCAACAGAACCATGGTAATGCCTCGTCTTCTGTTGTTGTTTTGTTTCTGAATTTAATTTGTGATATGAGGAAAACTTTATTATTGGGAATATCTGTAAATATTTTTGTTATACAAGGTTACCGTTGGTGTCATTTAATTAATTACTTGAAGCAACCTTGATAATGCAGGATTCTGGGGAGTTTATACTCTGGAACTGTCTGTATCTGGAACTACCAATCCCAGGTGTGTTATTCTTTATGCATATTGTCAGAAACGAGTTTTTTTCTAACCGAGAAATGTAATAGTGGATAGTGTATGTTGGCACTTAAGTCAGACACGGGTGTTTGTTGAACAAGCCACCTTTTGCATGGTGCCTATTTATAATGAGCTGCTGATGCAAATAGGGGAAACCTATTATATCCATGGTTCCTTCAAATTTCAAGTATCTATATTAAATTATTATTGAACATAATAGTGTATGATGTAGTGATTCATTACATGGAGAAAATATTGAACGAATTATTAACAATGTTCTTTGTTAGTGATTTTTTGTCTTGAAGAACGTCTACAAATATTATAGTATTTTATTTATACTTCAAAATAGATAGAAACTGGGACTTGTCTGAAATTTACATACTGTAAGTAATTTGATGAGTAAAATGTGTGTTTCTTTAATCTAAATCACACCCTTTTGAAATTTCCAAAGTATGACCACTAATTAATCTTATGTAACAGATCTTGAAGTCTGTGTTTGGAAGAGATTTAGACTAAATTATGTGCTTCTGAATACTTTTTATGCCTTTATAAGTTTTTCAGTCGAGCTGCCAGACTATAGTTTGATAAAATTTGAATACCTGTAGATATTAAGATCACCATTTGGCATTCGCCTTTGTTTTTAACATTTCACACATGCAATCTTGATTTTGCAGTTTATAGTGTATTGCATTTTGATTTGTATTCTTGTTTTACTATCATTCATCTTGGTCTTTATTGTTTATAATTTCATAGCTCGCAACACACTCCGTGAATCTTCATAGATTGTTAGTTAGGGATGTTATTTTCTGACTCTCCACCAAACTACTGCTTTTAACATAATTTTATTTATTCTATTTCAGACCATGGCAAAATCTTTTGAGGTTACCGAGTTAGCAGGTACATGAGTTATGAACCTTTTTTGGTACATTTGTATGTACATGAGACTCGTGATACTTTTTCTTGAATACACTCTTTTTTCTTTTTATATTTCACTAGAGCCCTTATACAATATGATTTTGCAGTTAGATCGGCCAAGTTTATTGCACGCCGACAGTGGGTTGTTGCTGGAGTAGATGATATGTTTATTCGCGTATATAATTACAACACGATGGATAAGGTTAAAGTATTTGAAGCACATACTTATTATTATTTATTAAATAATAAATTTATCTAAATTTTTATTGGTGTAGAACAAGTATCATTTTGCATGGATCGATATTCTAAATCTTTAGCTAAAGCAAATAAAAAGGCAAAAGAGAAAGCAAATTCAGATAATATTGAAGACTTAAAGAGTTTTGAACCAAGAAGTATAAGGACAGAGATGTGGGTTGGATTAGTAGACATATGGGCAACAGAAGAATGGAAAAAGAAGTCCATTGCAGGTAAGGCCAATAGGGTTGCCAAGCCTGATGCCATGATGCACAGAGGAGGATCAAGAAGCTTTGGGCAACACTTGAAAAAAATGGTATTCATACTTTATACATTTAATACATTGATCATATAATTGTTAATCAATATTGATTACTAGTTATAAATTGAATATTAGGTTTGATGTTAGAATATTGATGTCTGAATCTTGAATTGTAAATTATTTCACAAGAAGAAGAGCACAAACGTCCTATTTCTTATGGTGAATTATATAGCAAAGTTCATAAAAAGAAAGATGGTGAATATGTGTCTAACAAAGCAAAAAATTTTATTGTAAGTGTGTATATTTTATAAATATTAAATTTTGTTTATGTATAATATTGCTAAAATATTGATTTGATGTAGGAATCATATGAAAATGCTATGATTGAAAAACTGATATGCAAGCATTGATGCAAGCACAAATGAAGACACAAGCAAAAATGTAAACACTCATGCAACAACAAATGCAAGAAGAAATGCAGTCTTTCAAGAAAGATTTATTATCTGCCTTAAAGAATACTTTAAACTTTGTTTCTATTTTTAATTGTGTTATACAAAACTTTTTAGTTGAAATATTATTTTTGTTATGTTTTAATTGTTTGAAACATCATTTTAACTATGTTTAAAGAATATTTTTATATTGAAAGTTGATAAGTATGTCTTCTTTTTTAAGAATGAGTAATAATTTAAATCTTAAATATTTGATATTATAAATTTTGATAAAAATTATGAGGGATTAGCTATGAAATAGCGAGAAAAACATTGCAAAGGATTAGTTACGTATTAGCGAGGAAATAATTGTGAGGCATTAACCTCTAGCAAGAGATAAATTGTCAGGGATTAGCTACAGATTAGCGAGAGAAAAATTGTGAGGGATTAACTACGGATTAGCGAGAGAAAAATTGCGAGGGATTAGCTACATATTAGCGAGAGAAAAATTGCAAGGGATTAGTTACGGATTAGCGAGAGAAAAATTGCGAGGGATTAGCTACGGATTAGCGAGAGTGAAATTGCGAGAGATTAGCTACGGATTAGCGCGAACGAAATTGCGAGGGATTAGTTACGGATTAGCGAGAGCGAAATTGCGAGAGATTAGCTACGGATTAGCTACAAGTTTTGGGAGATCAAATTAGCTAGAGATAAACAAAATTTCATCATTTAAATTAGCGAGGGATTTAGCGACAATTTAGCGACAAAATTTGCTACAAGTTTGAGAGAGAATACATTTGTATCTAATTAGCTACTTGGATTTAGCTACAGACTATTCCATAGCTATTCCGTAACTAATCTATAGCAAAACATACCAGCGAGAAATTAGCTATAAAATAGCTACGGAATGTGTCATAGCTAATATGTAAAATTCTTGTAGTGATATATTTAAAAATAGCATTAAAAGCTTAATAAATCATTTTGTTAAACTTTGAATATATTCAATATAAAATATTATTAAATCATAAAATCAAAGCGTTTAATGTAAGTGGTAAAACAACATTTAATGCTAAAAAACACATTTAATTATCCGTTAGAGAGTTATTTAGAACAATATTGTATAACACATAAAAAAATATTTAATGCTAAAAACACATTTAATTATCCGTTCTACAGTTACTACAGTTAAAGTTATTGCATTAAGAACAATAATAAATATAACACTTTTTAAATAATTTTATTGAAACTAACCAAATGTTTTTAAAAGAATTACTTTAAATAAAAAATAAAATATTATTTGAGAAAATATTAAAAAAATAATACTCTATTGAAATGTAACAACTAATGTTAATTTGAAACTTTTTTATATAGTTAAAAACTACACACATTATGGAACGTAGAGTAAAATTTTACTACGAATTTTCTTTTTATTTTCATAAAAAGTTGGATAAGTAGTAAAAATCTATCTATAGGTTATTTCTAAAACAAATTTGCCAGAAATAAAAAAAAAAGTATAATTCAAAATTAGCATTGTTAATTTTTTATAGATTAATTATTTTATTTTTTATCCTTAAATATTAATTCTTTTTTAAAATTAATTTGAATTTAATAATGTATTTATAAGATTATTATTATTGTTGGTGAAATATAATTTAAAACAAATAATTTAAAAAGTAATTAAATTAGGGCATAATAATTAATATAATATATTAATGATATCTGCTTTTCAACTTAATTAATGATTTTGGGTTTGAATTCTGAATATACAAATTTGCTACATAATTAAAAATATATATTTCATGAATTGTTTTTATCTAAAAAAAAAACTGTCACTCTAGTTGTTCTATTTAAAAAGAAAATCTGTCATTCATGAGTTATTTTATTTAGAATGAAAACTTTGTCATTCATGAGTTATTCTATTTAGAAAGAAAATTTTGTCGTTTATGAGTTATTAGAGAAATATTTTTAACGTTTTTTTTTAATGATTCTACTAGTCAAAGAATAAAATTGATAGTTTAATCACCAGTATTTTAAAACAAATTATAATTTTATTATATTCTATAAGTATTTTTAACTTATTAAATATTAATAAAAAATAATATGTTTATATTAAAATAATTAATTAATAAATATTTAAATAATATATTAAATTTTAAAATTATATTAATAAAATTAATTTTTATTTTTAATATAATAATTTAATATATAAATTATAAGAAAAAAATTAATTTAATCACATAATAAAATTATTTTGTATTATTATTATTATTTATTTAGTAATTTACTTATTTAAAATAATAATTTATTTTTAATCATTAAATTATAAAATAATTAAATGTTATAGATTTCTTCTTGTATTTATTTTTGAAATAAGAAAGTTTTTTATGAAAATAATTTATAATATATATTTTTAAGTGAAATAATATTATTTTTATATAAAATATAATTATTATTTTATAAAAAAGTAGACTTCATCCACTCACCTGTTAATCTAAACTAAATTTATATAGACAATTATTTAAATGAACTGAAACAATATAAATTTCATCTAATTTTAGTCATAAATTTTATAATCTAAATTAATCTATTTCTTGAATATTTTAGAATAGTATGTTAAATTAATTTATTTTTTTACACTTTTATAAATTTTCACCTTAAATTTTATTAAAATCATGTAGACTTCGTTTCAAAAATATATTGCCAAAATGTGAATCTTAAACGAATTATATATACATTCTATTATGCATTTTAAAAATATATTAAATATTGATTAATTTAAAGATAAAAATATTTACTCATTTATTAAATTAAAAATTATTTTAGTTAAATTAATTTCTAAATTTGATAAATAATCTTTGATTTGAATGATTTGTTTTAAATTATTATTTAAAAATTTAATAATCTAGAGTCAATTTTAAATTAATAGCTAAACTCTTGGTAATAGAATCATTAAATAGCAAAGTATATATATATTAAAATAACATTAAATAGCTTAATAAACTTGAATAGATCAAAATAATAAAATAAATAATATTAATTATTTTTCAATAAAAATATAAAATAATAAAAATAATTTTATCTTTTTATTTTTTTTCCTTTTTTTATAGTATTTATAGTTTTTTTATTGTTTTTCTCACATCTTTCTATAAGTTTGCAAGAAAAAAATCATAAAAAAAATTTAAAGTTAAATTTTTATCTACAGTAATTAGTGTGATTTTTTATAAGTTTTAGTGAAACAAGATTATACTCTTAGACAATATCTTTAATATTTCTTCTCATAAAAAATGTCAATGGCAATGTTTGTGTTATTTTTTTTATTTTGTTTTCATTATAATAATATAAATGTATAAATTTAATATTTGTAGTTATTATGACGTCTTTCCTTGTTGACTTTAATAATTTTTTTACTTATGATGATTTAAAAGAAAAGTTGATTGATTTAAATAAAAAATGATAAATATTTTAGAGTCACAATAAATAATTAAATAAATAAGTTTAAATTTATAGTATTTTAAAATAAGTTACAATACTATAATATGTCGAAATAAATAAATTATAAATATAGACAAAGTTTTATCAAATATTAAAAAAAATTGTGAAAGTTTAAATTTTATATTTTAATAAAAATTTAGATTATTAGTATTATTTTATTTTATTTAAATTCTTTTGATTTTTGGATAAAAATGAATTAGTAATTAATAGAAATAAATTAAATAAATAAGTTAATAAAACAAAATAGTAATTAATGTTTTAATTTTATGTCTAAATAAAAATTATTTAATCATGTATTAAATTAAAAATTAATTTAGTTAAATTTAATTTCAAAATTAAATAAATTTTCTTTCATTTGAATTAACAAAATTTTAATTATAAAAAATTAATAATTTAGAGTCAAATTTTAATTTAATAGCTAAAATCTTGGTAATAGAAACATTAAATAGAAATTTAAATATATATTTTTAAAATAACAGTAAATAGTTTAATTTTTTATCAATTTCCTGATATACTTTATGTCAGAAAATAATATAAAACAATAAAGTCAAAGCGTTTAATGTAACTAATAAAAAAATATTAAATGCTGAAAAGTATTTAATGCTATTAAATAACTATTTAATGTAATCTTTTAAAATTTACAACGATTTTTCTTAAACTTTTTTATATAAAACTAAAAATTTTATATACGAGGTAAGCTTATGTAAACAACAATACAACAGAAGTTCAAAAAGTCACTTAGTTCCTTGTCTGAAACAAAGATAAGATATGTTTTTACAGTTTCACGCTCTCTCATTTAGATTATTTATAAGATAAAAAATATTTTATTAAATATAGGTTTTTTAAACTATATTTATTTTATTTAACAACACTTTTAATTTTATGTATTTTAAAAAACCAAAACACTTGTTTTAAAATATCATAACTTTTTTATTCCATTTAATAATTTTTTTTCTAAAATATCTTAACTTAATAAAAAATATATATATATATATATATATATATATATATTATTTATTAATGTAAGATTAATAGGTTATATCCATATGAATGTGACTTAGAACATATTTTGTAAATAATTTTAATGATATTGATAATGAATAATTCTTTTTAACAAATTAATATTAAAATTAGGAGAAGGGATTAAAAAGTTGAACTATACTTTTAATTATTGAAATTTAGTATAATTATATTTTAGTCTTCGAAATTCAAAATTGTTATTTACTTTTTTTTAAAATAAAAAAAATAGTTCTTAAACGATAAACTTGATTAATTAAAATAAATTTTTTTAACCCTAGTTTTTTTTTGAAATAAAAAGTTATTTATTCAAATTGTAATTAAAAAAAACTATTTAATTGAAGTTTTTGCGTGTAGTATTAGAGTGGAGTGGCAGTTTGTGTAATTTTGTTAAAAAGAGGGGTTACAGTCTCAGGACTCAAATTGTCTCAGAAATGTAGAATGGAAGTGTTGTCGTGAACATGCCATGTATATATCTATATAATAAACACAACACAACCATCTCTCTCTACATTTCTCTCTCTATTGTGATCCGCCGTCGAATCCTTCGTTTCTCTAAGAGGTTCTCATTTCTCCATCAATCGTCTCTTTTCTTAGATCTCGATTTTCTCTATTCAATTATTTTCTGTATGTTCTGGATTACATTTTTTCTTCTGTTTTCGGATCTCAATTTTAATTGCTCCCAATGCATTTCTATCTTCTGATTTTCATGTTTCTGTTAATGCATGCCGATTTTATACTTGTGGATCTGTGAATGTCTGATGGATAGAAAGGAAAAGTTTCACTGTTTGAATTTGAATCTTTGTCTGTGAATATGGCAGATCATAAATGGCGTCAACAGCGACTGGAGCGACGGGATGGTACCGAGGAAAGGTGAAAGCGGTTCCGTCGGGGGATTGTGTTGTCATCATGGCCATGCCCTCCGGAAAGCCTGGTCCCTTGCCTGAAAAGTCCATCACCTTGTCATCTCTAATGGCTCCAAGACTGGTAATTTTACCTGATTCAAGGATATCTTGTTCCAATTGTAAATTGATTTTTTTTTTTTTCCGAAATTTTGCTGTACCAATGTTGTGGTTGTTATGTTTTCCGTGTTCTTATTTCGATATTGAAAATGCTTTTTTTTTTCTTTCGGTGGTACTGCTGAGGTTTTTACAGTGAACTGATTAAAGATATTTGTTTTAAAAAATTGCTAGGCGCGTAGAGGTGGTGTGGATGAGCCGTTTGCTTGGGAAAGTAGAGAGTTTCTACGGAAGCTCTGCATAGGGAAGGTAATGATGTTCCTGTTTTTGTAACTTTGGTCGGTAGTCTTTTTTTTATTTTTTATTTTTTATTTTTGAGATAAAGCAATTTAAGTCTCTGACTTGATTTATGATTGAAACAGGAAGTGGCCTTCAGAGTTGATTATACCGTGCCAGCGATAAGCCGTGATTTTGGCACAGTTTTTATAGGGGATAAGAATGTTGCAGTGCTGGTTGTTTCTGCAGGATGGGCTAAGGTTGAACGCTTTGCGTTTTTTGTCACGATGTACCATGTTCTATTTATTTATGCATTGCTGAACTGTGTTTTGTTGGTGCAGGTAAGAGAGCAGGGGCAACAGAAGGGAGAGGCAAGTCCTTACCTAGCTGAATTGTTACGATTGGAAGAACAAGCTAAACAAGAAGGCCTTGGTCGTTGGAGCAAGGTTTGCATCTGAGTTTTTAGTGTTGGACTGTTAGGCTATTAAATAGAATAGCAAGCAATTTCGAAAAATCTGTCATTAGCAAACAAGTTATCCTTTATTTGCAACGAACACGGTGTCTGATAGTTGCAATGTAAAAAGTTAAGTGCAAACCCCATGCTTACTCTCATTAGCAATCAAGGCGTGCCTTACTTGTAACAAACAAGGCATCAGTTACCAGTTGCTTTTTTGGCATCTTCATAAATTTGAAACCAGTGTGGATTCTGTTTGGCATCTTTGCTGATTTAAAGTGTTTCCTTACCTTAATGAGTATTTTTTGTCACCTTACAAAATAAGTTTTAATTATGGAATGAGGTAATGTTTATGTCAGTGTCATTCAATATATTATGTATATAAACAGTTCCCTTCAAAATTATCGAATAGGATGATGCTGTAGTGTGACAGAAAATGGAAAATTATAATTACTTTCCCATTCAGACACAGTGAACATCTTATATAAATCTATCTTGAGTGAACCATATATGATTTTGTGGCTGATTGCAGATTCCTGGTGCTGCTGAGGCATCCATCAGAAGTCTACCACCATCGGCACTTGGTGACTCTGGCAACTTAGATGCTATGGGTTTATTAGCTGCTAACAAAGGCAGGCCCATGGAAGGAATTGTCGAGCAGGTTCGGGATGGAAGTACCCTGCGTGTCTATTTGCTCCCAGATTTTCAGTTTGTCCAAGTTTTTGTTGCTGGAATTCAGGTATATATATATATATCATAATTTTTTTTCCTACGCTTTTTTAAGCATGCAAATAATTGGTTTTTCTTTAAATTAGGCCCCACAAATGGGAAGGAGAGCTGTATCTGAAAGTGTTGTTGAACCAGAGGTGCCAGCTGATGAGACTAATGGAGATGTTCCTGGGGAACCTCGAGCTCCACTCACATCTGCCCAAAGACTTGCAGCCTCAGCAGCAGCAACTGCCGAAACTTCTGCTGATCCTTTTGCACCTGAAGCAAAATTCTTCACTGAGACAAGAGTATTGAATCGAGATGTGAGTAACCCGCTTCTGTAATTTTTATTGCTTGTTTCATTTTTGCATGTTTTGTGAATTCCAAGTGGGCATGTAGGTTCGAATTGTCCTAGAAGGTGTTGATAAGTTCAGCAATTTGATTGGGTCAGTCTATTATCCTGATGGTGACTCAGCAAAAGATTTGGCATTAGAGCTTGTGGAAAACGTAAGTACTTCAGCTGCGCAATGATATTACATTGGTTTAGCTTGTTTAATTTTATTGTTGGACTTCTAATATTTCCTACCGTAATTTTCCACTTTTGCATGACTTCACTGGCTTATGTTAGTTAGCAACAAACTTGCAGCCACTTCAATACTTAATTTGTGGGGGTGTTCATTATTAGGATCTATCAGTGATTGACATGGAAAAATTGTGCATACTATTCACGCAGACGTTTGGGTACATAATAGCTAGTGGCCCATCAGAATAAATTATCAATACTATTTGTTGAGTACACTATTGTCTCAAAGATTGACTAATTTTGTTATTGTATAAGAAACCAAGATTTAGAAGAGTATACATGTTTTGGGATTTGCCAATTTTAGCTATTTTATGCTTGTTTATCTTAATTTTAATGCTATAAGTCAATAACACTTGTACAATCTCTATTTCCTGACATTTAGTTGGAATCACTCTTGGTTTCTTAGCCAGCTGTGCTTAAGTGATGTGCATTATAGTTTTTGTTTGGAGGGAGATTTGAATGATTCACCTTGTCTCTTCATCTGATGAGATATCACTTAGCAGTATTCTGAAAATCTCTTATCATTTTGATTTATCAATCATACAGGGTTTTGCCAAATATGTTGAATGGAGTGCCAATATGATGGAAGAAGAAGCGAAGCGGAAACTGAAGACTTCAGAGCTTCAGGCAAAGAAAAACAGGTTAAGAATGTGGACGAACTATATACCACCAGCAACAAATTCAAAGGCGATACATGACCAGAATTTTACAGGAAAGGTAATATTTCTCTAATCATTGGTTTATCCCAAATTAAAAGGGATCTCATGGTGTCCCTTAGTATTTGGTTTTACCAAGCCCAATGATGTGGGATTCTTATAATTGAACTCACCTAGTTAGACAAGACTATTGTTGTCATCGTTGTTTTAATTTATCCCAATATTCAATCTTCATTCATTTAAGTATTTAAATTTGTAATCTTCTGTTTCTAGGTGGTTGAGGTCGTTAGTGGAGATTGTATCATTGTTGCTGATGATTCAATTCCATATGGCAGTCCACTAGCAGAGCGGCGAGTCAACCTTTCAAGTATTAGGTGCCCCAAAATGGGCAATCCTCGTAGAGATGAAAAACCAGCTCCCTATGCCCGTGAAGCAAAGGAGTTCTTGAGAACACGCCTCATTGGTCGTCAAGTATGAAAATATAATGTAATATGCAATGGTCTATATCATTGGTGACTGCATTTATAATTAGTCAATTACCTTGATTTTCAGGTAAGTGTTCAAATGGAGTATTCTAGAAAAGTTCCTCTGGTAGATGGATCTGCTGTTCCAGCAGGAGCGTCTGAAGGTAGAGCAATGGATTTTGGATCAGTATTCCTACTCAACACTGTTAAGGCTGATGGTGATGATGCTCCTTCATCTGTTTCACCTGCTGGAAGTCAGCCAAATGGGGTGAATATTGCTGAGTTGGTTGTTGGCCGTGGTTTTGGAACTGTCATTAGACACCGTGACTTTGAGGAGAGATCAAACTACTATGATGCTCTTCTTACTGCTGAATCACGCGCTATTTCTGGAAAGAAAGGGATCCATTCTGCCAAGGATTCCCCAGTCATGCATATAACTGATTTGACCACAGTGAGTAAAATTATAATTGCACTAAATTTAACTTTTGATCTGAAGTATTCTTAACCCTTTCCCCTACTTTGATTCATTGTAGGCATCAGCGAAGAAAGCCAAAGATTTCTTGCCTTTCCTTCACCGTAGTAGAAAAATCCCTGCTGTTGTGGAATATGTCCTCAGTGGTCATCGTTTCAAATTGTTAATTCCAAAAGAGACTTGCAGTATTGCATTTGCATTTTCTGGTGTCAGATGTCCTGGTCGCAATGAGCCATATTCTGATGAAGCCATCTCACTCATGAGGAGGAAAATAATGCAGAGAGATGTTGAGGTAATTAGGTCTTCCCATGCAAACTTAAAATTTTGCATTTTAGTTTTTATTTTTCTAAATTAAATGTAATTTCTATAATTTTCAGATTGAGGTTGAGACTGTTGATAGAACTGGCACTTTCCTGGGTTCCTTATGGGAGTCAAGGACCAATATGGCGATTACACTGCTCGAATCTGGTTTTGCAAAGCTTCAAACCTCCTTTGGTAGTGACAGAATTCCTGATTTTCATCTTCTGGAGCGAGCTGAACAATCTGCTAGGAGTCAAAAGCTGAAAGTAAGGAGGTTCCATGCTTGGCATTACCTGTCATTTTGCTTTTTATTATTCAAAAGTGATTTATATTGCAGATTTTTATGGTTCTAAAGTGATTTATATTGCAGATTTGGGAGAATTATGTTGAAGGGGAGGAAGTATCTAATGGTGCACCTGTCGAGAACAAACAGCAAGAAGTGCTCAAGGTTCTCAGTATGCTCTTGTATAATAAATGGCCTTTCTTTTTGTATTGAAAAATGCTGAATGATATGCTCCACTGTTATCTGTTCTTAGGTGACAGTAACAGAAGTCTTAGGTGGGGGTAAATTCTATGTCCATCCTGTTGGGGATCAAAAGATAGCATCCATTCAGCAACAGCTTTCTTTTCTGAACCTTCAAGAAGCCCCTCTGATTGGAGCTTTCAATCCTAAGAAGGGTGAAACAGTCCTTTGTCTTTTTGGTGCTGATAAATCTTGGTACCGGGCAATGGTAAATTTTCCATTTTAGTTCTGTACTATACTATTTAGGAGAAATTGCCAGCCATCTTATGCATGAAAGTTTGATGAGAAATATCTCATTTTATAGACATGGAAACCTATTTCTTCCATTAATCAATATTTCATCTCATTTTAAATCCATAGTATTGCTGTTGAGTGGTTTCATCTCATTAAGCAATATTTCATCTTGAACAGAAATCCTTTAGACAAATTCTGTTTATCTTCCAGATCTGAGGTGTGACTTTATTTAGTCAGATATTTCTTAATTGTCAGCACTTTGAGTACATGCACTTTGTTGTCACGTTTTACAATTTTCAGTATTGTGGATAAGGTTGATGAGATGCAAAATAGTTAGAGCATTACTTGTACCACCTAGTCTGTTAACTCAAACTTACTATGTTAAATGTTACGGAATTGTGTAGATAGTCAATGGACCTCGAGGACATGTTGAATCTCCCAATGACAAGTTTGAAGTATTTTATATTGATTATGGAAATCAAGAAGAAGTACCTTACTCTCAACTACGGCCTCTTGATCCATCTATATCTGCTGGCCCTGGTCTTGCACAATTGTGCAGCCTTGCATATGTTAAGGTTCCAAATTTGGAAGAGGATTTTGGCCAAGAAGCAGCTGAATACTTGAGCGAACTCACTTTAAACAGTGGCAAAGAGTTTAGGGCTAAGGTCGAGGAGAGAGATACATCTGGAGGAAAAGCAAAAGGGCAGGGTACTGGGACAGTGCTTGCGGTAACTCTAGTTGCTGTGGATTCTGAGATCAGTGTTAATGCTGCCATGCTACAGGTTTTAATTGCTACTTACTACTTTGCTTGAATTGTTTTCAAAAGCATATAGTTAGATAATGTGCATTCAATGATATCTAATAAACAAATGTCTCTGGTTTTGTTTTCCGTGAAAATTTCCAGGAAGGACTTGCTAGGCTAGAAAAAAGAAACAGGTGGGACAGAAAAGAAAAACAACAGGCCTTTGATAATCTGGAGATATTCCAGGGAGAAGCTCGGACAAGTCGGCGTGGAATGTGGCAGTATGGAGATATCCAGTCTGATGATGAGGACACTGCTCCTCCTGCTAGAAAGGCTGGTGGCCGGAAGTGAGTGTGTACTTTAACGGGGAAGGTAAGTTATAGAGTTATAGACACCTTCAGTGAAAATGAGCAAGTTATAGACATGAACATTTTACTTCCAAGGTAGACGGGAAGAATGCCATGTGTAATCCTTAGTAAGTTTAGTTTTGTTTTATTTTTCTTGTTTTAAATTTTGTCGGTAGGCTGAGAAGACAATTTTTTAAACAAATGTTACAATAAAAGATGCATATGGCCGATGTTTCATATCGATGGGACAGCAGAGAGTTATTGTTTCATAGTTAATCGCGGTTGAGGTATTTTGTTGTGTTGGTAGAATACCTTAAGTTTTAATGTTGGAGTGATTTTTATTACATAATCATTTTTACTGTTTTGTTTCGACATTAATTAAGAGTTTGTATGGTCAAACTCTTTATTAAGGTAGGAATCATGATTTTATGACAGTGCAAAGGGATAAAAATATGTTTTTGGGTCTTCTAAAAATATTACAATTTTTGTTTCAACTTTTTATGAAAACTTTAATTTTTTTAGTCAGCACAATCCAAAAACAAGTTTCACATCGTATAAAATCCAAAACCGGTTTTCTCAAATTGCTTGGCTGATATTGTTGAAGTTAAAGTTTTAGCATTCATGGAATGGCATTAGAAAAGTTTGTAAAATTATTGGTAGAAAAAAGCTTCACGATTTTAGAATACTAGATCATTTCGAAATTGAAGAAGACATACTCTTTGGTACAGAATGTCGATAATATCACGTGCCGTCAGTTTGAACTTAACAAGAGAGAAAAAAGAAAGAATCAAAAGGAATCACTTACGCATATTATTCATAATTCCCTCCTTTTGCCATGTTTTGTATAATTTCCAACGCGCTATTTTAGCTCTAGTGTGAGTGTTAATGAGTGCAAAGGGGGAAATAAGATCGGTGCAACCTAATAGTACTAGTGTTGTTGATTGATCTATTGGAAAAATCTCACGTATGTAGGGGATGGATGCAACGTAAGGGTTGTATCGGTAAACCAAGAAAAGATTACAAATCATATCCAGTCATACTTGAGTTTAAGTTCATTGTTGAATTTAATAGAAAATTGACTTTCGGCACTACATTTGTTTTTATTTTTGAGCGGACTAAGTGAGCTAGATACTTACCTCAAAATCTTTTTTTGAGAAGCTTCTAATCATATCAACAAAAAATCTGTTTTGCATTCCACAAACTATATTACTGGTAAAATTCCTTTCAGATGTCCTACTTGATCATACATAAGGGACAGGATTTACTCCTTCACTTCTCAAGGAACATGTATTTCTTATCTGTGTGCTTGTCACTTATATCCTATGCTAGTAAAATTAAGGAAAGGTCATATTGATTAATCACAGTTACAATTTTCCCAATAAATTAAATATGATAAGATATAAATTAGAATAACATCAAAATTAATAAGGGTGAGGAGTTTGCATAATAAGATCACCCATCGAAGAAATAAAAGAAGTCACTTCTAAATTGGGAAAATACATGTAGGCTTCAATTCTAGTTAAACAAAAATCGTAATTATCTCTTACGTCTGGATATTTAATGAATCTTCTCATATGCATCCCCATGTAATACGTAATAAATATAATCAAATTGAAGACAATTAGGTTTTGAATTGGTTTCATGAACACATAAAAGCCAACTTACTATTGCGTGGTAATCCACTGCTTAGGCTGCCAATTTACCAACACATATTCTGACAACTAAGCAGTGGTAACAACTATTAAATGAACAACTATTTTCGATAAATCACTTTCATCAGTGCAAATGCATGGTAATGTTTACATTATTACGTAATTCAACTATATTGGACTTATTATAGACATTTTAGTTGAGTTTTATTTTCCTAAGCTTCAGACTTTAAACTCAACTCTTCAATTTAGGAGTTTTATGCACTTCGACCATCCTTTCTCCGTTCCGTTGGCCATAACTTTCCATAAAAATCTTTAAACAGATCTTAAACTTTTCTTTTAAGAGATTTTAATCAGAATTAAATTGGTCTTGATTTTGGAAAAAAGTTCTATCAAAGCATCCTGACATGAGCGTGCTGGTTTAAGACATGTTGAAAAGATTGAAACCTTGTAGACCAACACCACACGGACAAGTTTTTCCACATCTTTCATGAGGTAAAGGTTGGATTGATAGTTTGTACGGTTCAAATAATTTGAGAACTCCTAGTACCGTTGGAACTAAATAAACATGTTAAAAAAAATAAAAATAAAAATAAAATCTTTATGTTGCGGGTCCTAGTCTAAGAAACGATTTAGCATTGTTGAAATAATTGTAATTGTACAGCCTCCTCAATTAGCTTAAAACACTACTCCAGTCTCCAAATGACTAACACAACAACACACAAAGTGACCAACACAACCCAATACTACTTAAGTCTCCAAAAGTGACCAACACAACCCAATACTACTTAAGTCTCCAAAAGTGACCAACACAACACACAAAAATGATCTACACTCCTTTATGTCTAACGCTCAACTAAGCTCAAATTTATGTGCGGTGGTGTTCTTCAATGGCCGCCCCTGTCAAGAAATTCAATCATATTTCAATTTTCTCTCCTTGTTGACCTCCGACGGGGAGGTGCAGATGATTCCTCCTTCTCATTGTTTTCTTCATTCTCACCATTTCTTTGGTTGGTGGCAGTTTCTGCGGGTTCTACGTTTGTCTTCTCCACCCTTGTCTGCACAACAGAACAAATAGTACAGAGATTAACATACAGTCAGTCCCAGGTAAAGGAACATAAAAGAATAAAGGTGAGCAATGTTTCACTACTTACGGGCTTCTTTTTCCCACCAAATATGATTTTGAAGAAAATTGACACTATGACAACCACAATGGCTACAAGAACTCCAACAGTCATATTCGGTTGCTCTTGACCCTTCTCGATGATATCCTACAGAAAAGGATAGATAGATTATAAGTCATTTTGCAAGAAGACGCTATTACGAACGAAGACATATTTGTTTTGTTACTTACATGGATTTTAGGCTTATAGGCACTCAGGAAGGGAACGTCTGCGATCTTGTATAACAGGTCAAACACATTCTTCTGCAAGGACAATAGGTAAAATGTTGCATCAGAGGACTTAATGCTGGAAAGTAATATAAAAGAGAGAAGAAGGCGGGAGTAAACTAAAAATGACAAATGATATTACCTGAAAGCCTGCAAGACCACTAGACCCAGCTTCCGAATCTTCTTCCTTCTGTTTTTCTTTCTCAACTGTAAACTTGGGTTTCCATGTAGTCTCCCGGTACGACTCAGCAATTTTATCATCTTTAGCTATCAAGATGTTATCAAACAATATGCCCTCTTGCATTGTCCAAATCTCAATACCAATAGCAGCGATTGGCTCAAAATCAGGCTTTTTAAGTTCAAAATATGCAGGGTTTGGAATATCCCGAGGCTTCCATATGCCCTTATAAGCAGGATTTTCAATAAGTGGGGCATGCCATTTTCCTTTATAAGCCGGATTCCTCTTCATTGGCCTCTTCCACTCACCACAGCCAGGGGCTGCCTCACATTTTGGGTTATCAATCTTTGGGGCTTCCCATTCACCATCCTCCTCATCGTCCCAATCTTCTGGTTTTGTTGCCTCTGGATCATCTATTTCCTCGGGTTCATCGTCTAACCATCCTTCAGGTTTTTCAGCTTCTTCATCAAGAATTTCCACAGGTGCATCCTCATCCCAGTCATCTGGCTTTACAGCACTTGGGTCAGGAATTTTCTCTCTCTCATCCCAGTCCTCAGGCTTCTTATCATCGGTATCTGGGATTGTCTTGGGAGGGATAAGAGGAGGTTCAAAATCATCAGCACTTAAGAAGTTGGCCTTCTTCTTCTGTTCCCCATCAATCAAAATTTGCACCTCATTGTCAGGCTTCAAAATAGCGGTGTACACATGAGATAATTTATCAGAAGGGACAGAAGGTGGATGCTTAAGATGATGTTCAACGTACTCCCCACTCTTGGGATTCTTGTGTTTGAAAATGAAGTGTACTTTGTTTGTCGCACCACACTTATCAGGACCAAACATGATAGAATAGGGAGATTCGTTGTCAAATTCCTTAGGTTTCCATCCAGCATCCTGTGGTCGGAGATATTTTAGATATGCTCCACCACATTCAAGGCCATTCTGAAGCCGAGTTTCAAACTGGAGAACAACAGTTCCATCCTTGAGACTTACTGCCTCATCAAGTTCCTTTACTATAGCATATTTCCTTGCTTTCTCACTGACAAGAAGACCATAATCATCATGTCCCTCACTCTTGGCATGTTTCCAGACACCTAGAATCAGATATTATATCATATTTAGCATTATATCATATATCAAGCCACACTACAAGAGGAGTGGGATAATTTGCATTAGGTACTCAAACCTCTATGTTTTCAGCACACTAACAAAATTTTAAAAACTAAAATATCTAATCTAATGCACATATGTAATAGACTTGATTATTAATATGCACAAAATTTAATTTTTCATAATAAGACAACAGATGACCAGTGAACATTAATATAGTATTAAATATATTGAAAAGCAAATTCAATATATTTAATGGTATATTCCACATAAAATACACTACCGTTAGATTCAATATGTTCCTTAACATTACAAATAATATTGATTATTAAATCTTACCAGAGAGGATAAGAATTAAAACATAAAAATCATGTCACCTTAATAAATCGTCATGTGACAATAAGTAGCTTTTAATATTAACTATTATGGTTATATGATCAATGATTCTCACACTCTCAAACAAATATCCCTCTCACTAGATACATTGCATCCCTTATACATACATACAAACACAATCAAACAAGTATATCATTTCATTATGGTTTGTTTGGCAAAGGGAGAAGAAATAGAGGAAAAGAAAGTTGGTCGATGAGGAGAAATGGGAAATAGAGTGAGAATATGTGTTTGGTTGAAGAGAAATAAAGTGAAAATAAAACAGAAAATTTTAAATTATATATATA